TAATAGCTGCTCTAATTACTATTATTATCTCATCTTCTTAGAAGTCAAATCTAATGTATAGTAAAAGCTGCTTTCGCTCATGCATTCAACAAATTTTTGACTGCCTCATATGTGCCAGACACTGAGCTAGCTTAATAAATAAATAAAATTATTCTGCGTAATTTGTTATGCAAAGTCTTAGAAACAAGACAGAATCCACCGATGGGACATGTTTAAGTTTTGATATGGCCACTCAGCACAAGATTATGAAGGTCACTATTGGAGAAAAAAAAATCCCAGAGAGTTTATAGTAACCTGGAAAAGTGTTTATGTTATAATGTTAAATGAATAAAGCCAGATATAGATGTATAATTTGAGCTTAACCATAGTGAAAAAGCAACAACAGTACCACCTGTGCACAGAAGAGAAAAAAACAGTAAGTAGGACTTACTGTTACCTCTGAGAGACAGCAAGATGGGTCTGGCAAATGTTCCTTATCATCTTCTGAGCTACTCTTTGGCCAGGTTGCAGAAGGGGCTGAGCCACAGACTACATGCAGAGAGCTGGGGGAGGGGGAGGATGCTGGCCAGCACAGCAGTGTTTGAGGAGTGGTCTCCAGGTAGGGTAAGGAGTCCCCTGAGATGTGGGGCAGCTGCAGGTGGAAATTGCTCCCCTTGTGAACAGGAAGGCAGCATGGCATCAGGTAGAGTTTTATCACAGATCCTTTCTGAAGTCAGGGGCTCTTTTCTGGGTGTGTCCAGAATGTTGCCTGAGCTCTGCTTGCCCCCCAGAGGTTGCCATCACTTCTGAGTAAAGCCCTGTACACCAGCTTCTGCTGCTGCTTCCCTCAGTCCTGGTTCAACACACATGAGTTCAAGTCCGACATCTGTAACACGATGAGCCTGTGGATCTCAGGTAAGAGGAGGCTGCTTTCTCCTGGGGAAAGCAGTTCCAGAAACACGTCTTTCCCCGGAGCCCGGGTGTGTTCCTGTTGCCATCTCACCTCTTCACTGAGGCAGCTGTCCTTTTCTCTCCTTGGCAGTAAAGAAAGTAAAGTGTGTGGTTGGAGCCCAGGGGGTGCCAATATTCCTGCTTCCTCAAACATTTGAGCCATCCCTAGTCCCCTTTTGTGCCCGGGGGCATCTGCAGGGAGCAGGTTTTAGTGCTGTAGGTAATCCCACACTTCCATCCCCGGTGCGACCCCAAGTGGCGCAACTGTAGTCCCCCTCTCCCTCCAGCGCACACAGTGCCAGTTTGATGTTTGCTTTTCAGTCTCCTTCCCCACTTTCCCCATCTCGAGCTAAACATTTTTTAAGGTCATTAAAAGCAATATTTACTGAGAGGTTCCTGTGTACGAGGTACTGTGCTAAGTAAGCACTTTTCACATTCCCCACTGTGCTGAGGGTCTCCAAGATCACTCCCGCATTAGGGGATTTGGTAGAACTCACAGGGCTCAGCTTATAGTTGAGTTTATGGCCAAGATTTGTTGTGATGTAGTAAGGAGACAGCCTTTACCACATAAAGGGAAAGATAGGCAGTGTTTGGAGGATTCCTTGTGGTCTCTCCCTCCCGTGAGGGGTTATGCAGAGCCCCTTCCTGCTCTGGGGTAAACACGTAACAACATTGTGTGATGTTTGTGCCCGGAAGCCCATTAGAGAAACAGCACCCAAGGTTTTTACTGGGGGCTGGTCATGTAGACCTTTCTGTCTGTCATGTTCCAAAATGCCAGGAAAGCGAGTGATCAGCATAAACTACATGGTTTTATAAACAGTCTTGGTACAGTGAGCCACTTTTGTCAGCTAGAGAAAAAAATTTCCCCCAGCTTTGTTGGGATGTAATTGACATATGACATTGTGGAACTTTAAGGTGTACAATGTGATGATTTGACACATGTATATATTGTGAAATTTTTACCACAAGCAGGTTAGTTAACACATCCTTCAGCTCACATAATTCCCATTTTGTTGGTGTTGTTTTATGGTGAGATGGTTTAAGAGTTAGTCTCATGGCAACTTTCAAGTATACAATACAGAATTATTAACTGTAGTCACCGTGCTGTACATTAAATCCCCAGAACTCGTTCCTCCAGTAACTGAAAGTTTTTACCCTTTGACCAACATCTAATTTCCCCTACCCCTAGCCCTGGCCACCACCCTTCTACTTTGTGCTTGTGTGAATTTGGCTTTTTTAGATTACACACATAAGTGAGATCATATAGTATTTGTCTTCCTCTGACTTATTTCACTTAGCATAAGGTTCTCAAGGCCATGTTGTCGCAAATGGCAAAGTTTCCCTTTTTATGGCTGAATACTATTCTATTGTTTATATATGTCACATTTTCTTTACTCATTCATTGTCAGTGGACACTTACATTGTTTCCATATCTTGGCTATAGTGAATAATACTACAGTCAGCATGAGGGTGCAGGCATCTCTTTGAGACTGTGATTTCATTTCCTTTGGCTGTATATTACAAGTGAGAGTCCTGGATCATACGGTACTACTACTTTTAATTTTTTGAGGAACTTCCATACTGTTTTCCATAGTGGCTGTACCAATTTACATTTCCCATCAGCAGTGCACAAAAGTTCCCTTTTTCCTTACATCCTCGCCAGCATTTGTTTTCACTTATCTTTTTGATAATAACCATTCTATGGTTTTGATTTGCATTTCCCTGATGATTACTGATGTTGAGCATCTTTTCACGTACTAGTTGGTCATTTGTATGTCGTTGGAAAAATGTCTGTTGAGATCCTTTGCTCATTTTCTAATTGGATTATTTGGCTTTTTTGCTACTGAGTTCTATAAGTTTCTTATGTACTTTGAATATTAACCCCTTATGAGACATATGGTTTGCAAATATTTTCTCCCATTCTGTAAGTTGCCTTTTCATTTTGTTGTTTCTTTTGCTGTGCTTTTTAGTTGGATGTAGCCCCTCTTATCTATTTTAGCTTTTGTTTCTTGTGCTTTTGGTATTATACCCCCAAAAATCACTGCCAAGACCAATGTCAGGGAGCTTTTCCCCTGGGTTTTATTCTGGGAGTTTTATGGTTCAGGTCTTACATTTAAGTCCTTAACCTGTTTTGAGTTAACTTTTGTAAGTGGTATAAGAAGGGTCCAGTTTTATTCTTTTGCATATGAATATCCAGTTTTCCCAGCACCATTTATTGAAGAGACTACACTTTTTGCCCATTGAGTATTCTTGGCTCCTTTGTTAAATATTCATTGATCATATATGCATGGGTTTATTTCTGGGGCTCTCAGTTCTGTTTCATTGATCTGTGTGTCTGTTTTTCTGCCAGTACCATATTGTTTTGATTTCCATAGCTTTGTAATACAGTTTAAAAACAGGGCGTGTGATGCCTCCAGCTCTATTCTTTTGCAAGATTGGTTTAGTTATTCGGAGTCGTTGTGGATCCATACAAATTTTAGGGTTTTTTTTTCTATTTCTATGAAAAATACCATTGGAATTTTAATAAGGATTACACTAAATCTATAGATGGCTTGAGTAGTATGGACATTTAAACAATATTAGTTCTTGTAATTCATGAACATGGGATATCTTTTCATTTATTTCTGTCTTCAATTTCTTTCATCAGTGTCTTAGAATTTTCAATTTATAATATAGATCTTTTAATTCCTTGGCTCTAAGTTTAATTGTTAATGGGGTTGTTTTATTTCTTTTTCAGATAATTTATTGTTAGTATATAAAAACAACTGATTTTTGTATGTTCATTTTGTATCCTGAAAGTTTACTGAATTCATTTGTTAGTTCTAACAGTTTTTGGTGGAATCTTTAGGGTTTTCTGTATAATAATATCATGTCAGGTTTCCTGAACCATTTTCCAGAAGAAGAAGCCAAAGTCTCCTAGAGAGAAAGTGACTCACCCAAGCCTGCAAGACCAGAGCAGGGTGGGGCTAATGCTGGAAGCCCAGCCTCCCTGGGACCAGCAGGGGGCGTCTCAGAGACCTTTGTCTTCCATTTTCTGCCTCCTTTTCACTTTCGCAGAAGTTTTCATTATCACTCTTTGACTCCCTCTTAGGTATATATCCTTGCCCACAAGGCTATAACAGCTGGGACTACTCGAATCTGGATCCAGAGAGATTCCGGAGAGAAGAATTAGTGTGGCAGAGAAACAGACTGCTGAAGGGTAAGGTACTAGCTGGGGACTTTTGTCCCCTTTGCCCCCTGCTGCACCCAGCCACATCTAGTTGAGTACTGAAATCCTCAGGCCAGGTTCTCTCTCACGTACCCCTAAACTAGCCTCCAAAATGACTGAAATGTTAATGCTTAGGAACTGTAAAGTCAGCACCCCATAAGTGTTGGGATGTGGGGGTAGAATTTTATATTAAACAATGGATGCTGGTTATTAGATGCCTACTATGTTCCAGGTGCCAGGTATCCTTTTTATTTAATCCTCACAGCAGCCGGCTGAAATACATACTAGATCCACTTCACCGATGAGGAAACTAGAGTTCAGAGAAGCTACTTGCCCAGGGCCCACTTTCTTTTTGCACTCAGTAGACACGGAAAAAGCACCATGTGCCGGGCGCTATGTGCAGTGAACACTAGAAACACGGAGTGGAGTCAGGCACAGCCCCCGCTGTGCAGTCTGGTGGGAAGTTCAGGTCACGCAGTTACACTGCAGTGGATTGGGTGCCATGACAGGGTGTACAGGGTGCTGAGGCAGCAGGGAGTGGGGTACTCAGTCCAGCCTGCGAGCGTCAGTAAGTGGCATTTAAGCTGAGATTTGAGGGATGTGTGCTTTAGGCCAGTGAAAGGAAGAATTGCTGTCCCAGGCAGAGGGAACAGCATGTGAGAAGACCTAGAGGCACTGAAGAGAACAGAGACATTCCTCATGGCAACAGAGAGAGGACTGTGATGGGTAACTAGACAATCCATGGCTAAACTGGGATTCAAACTCAGGACTGTGAAGCCAGAGAGACACATCCTTGGGTTAGAATAAATCTGTATCCTCCAGCTAGGGGGGGTATCTGCCCCTTTTTATGGGGCACTCCAAGGATGCAGCAAAGCTTGTCTTTAATGGTCAGTAGGAGCCAGAGGGCAGGCAACATCAAGCTAATCAAACTCCTTAGCAACGTCTGTGGCCCTTTGGAGGTGGGGCATAGGAGTGAGGAGATTTTTTTTCTTCCCTTAAATATGGTGAAAACAGTTCATACTGTCAAAGAATATGAATCTGAGCCTGAAGCTGTAATCCGATTAACCATAAAAATAATGCTAATGCACACTGACTTGTTCGCTGCACCAGCCACTGTTCAGCTCATGTTACTTTATTTCATCTCCACTCCAACCTTATGAGAAATCCTATCATCCCTGTCTTACAGCAAGAATTGAGGTACAGAGAGGTTCATGTGCCCAAGGTTTTCCAGCACGCTTGGGGAACAGGATTTTGCCCAGACAGGCTAATCTGTCTGCTGCTTTGGTCAGTCTTCGGCCTCTCTGGTCCATTAAACCATTCTCCTCCCTCAGTCTAACGCCCTCAGGGAAAGCAAGGGTGCTTAGCAGGAAGGAGGAACCTCAGAAGAGGCAGGGCTGCCCACTATGGTGAGCTTCCTGTCCCCGGAGGGCCCTGGCAGAGCGGCTAGCGTGCTACCTAAACGTTCCCTGTTGGGTGGGAGGCTGGGTGAGGTGTCCCCTAAAGACCCTCTCTCTGAAGGCTAGGAAGCTGCAGTTAGGGCTAGGAGCTAACATAAACTAGGGTGTGGGAACTGTCCCCAGGGCCACACTCAGGTTTGGTGGTTCCCTAGGAGCATGCACAGGACTCAGTGTGTAGTCACACTCACAGCTGTGATCTGTTGCAGCGAAAGGACACAAAGCACAACCTGCAAAGGGAAAAGACATGTGGAGCAAAGTCCAGGAAAGCTGGGCGCAGGCTTCCAAGAGTCCTCTTCCATGGAGTCACACAGGCCCTGCTTACTTCCCCCAGCAAGGTGTTGTGACAACACGTGTCAGTGTTGCCTAGCAGAGAAGCTTGTTAGAGACCCATGGCCAGGGTTTTCATTGGGGGCTGATCACATAGGCACTCCCTGCCTGATACATACCCAAATCCAGACTCCCAGAAGGAAAGTAGGTGTTTAGCATAAACCACATTGTTATAGGCACAGTGAGCCACTCTTATCAGTGGGAACCCTCCTGAAACCTAATTTCTGGATGCCAGTCAAGGGCCAGCCTTGCAATCAGGACTTTTCAAGAACAGCAGACTACTGTGTTAATGATTTTCTGCACAGTTGTGAAGATAGACATGAGGCTTGTAAGGAAAATGGAATCTCATGGAAATCCAAGAGCACAGTGGGACAGACCAGGAGGGGGCTGGAGCTGGGGCGGGTTCCAGATTCAAAGCAGCTCTAAGCATCTAGCAGCCAGTGTTTATAGATGTTCCATTTAGCAGTGAGAACTCAAGAGGAGGATCAGGTATTTGGAGAAAGGCTATGTGTTCAATTTCAGACATGACCGGTTTGAGGAGACAGGTTCAGACATGACAGGAACATCCAGGTGGAGTTAAGACACAGTTGGTGATACGGCTAGGGGAGCGATCAGGGCTGGGACTCTCAACTGAAAATTTATTCAAATAAATGTGCTGGTTGAAACTGTCTCTAAATGGGAATATCAAGGAAGGGAGAAGACAAGGAGGCTGAGGTCAGAGCCTTGGTGTCCTCCTACATGCAGGAGGCAGCAGAAAGAGGATTCAGCGGTAGGAGGAGCCCAGAAAGGACAGGTCATGGCAGCCAAGGTGGGGCCATACTGAGGGGTGGTCAGTGGAGCCAGCTACCTCAGAGGACCATAGAGCAAGGCCTAGGAGGAAGCCATGGAATCATACAGTTAGGTTGCTAGTGATCTTTATGTATCAGCTTTACTGAAATATAATCCACATAACATAATTTACCCTTTTAAAATGTACATTTCAGTGACTTTTAGTATATTTGCAAAATTATGCAGCCGTCTCATGCAGCTACTATCTATTTCTAAAACGTTTTCATCATCCCCCCTCAAAAAACTCCTGTGAGTGAACTTTGAGACAGCTGTTTATATCAGGTAGTAAAAGGCGGGGCCAGATTTCAGGGGAAGTGATACAGAAGTGAAAACAGAATAGAGAAAGGTGTGCTGAGGCGTTAGCAGGGTTGCGGGTAGGAGAGCCACTCTTGTTTAAACAAACGCCATCCCTCTTAGATGCCAGCAGTAAAGAGCAGAAGGAGAATGGGCATGATGGTTCAGCAGCCCCCTCTTCCTTGAGACCCCCTCCATCGGGTTGGTGTCCTGGCTGAGGAGGCAGGCTGCTGGGCCTTCACCGCTCTGCTCCACGTGTTCCCTGAAGTGTAGCCGACTTGCTACTCTAAGTGTAGGCCAAGGGCCAGCAGCAGCAGCATCTCTCAATTGACTAAAGCAGACCCTGCAATTTGCCAGGATCTCCCAGGGATGTGTGAGCACATTCCAGTTTGATTAGCTCAGGTCCAGGGCACAAGGGAAGAGAATAGCTAGCAGCCCTTAGGGAAGAGTACAGCTGTAATTATCGGCTGGAAGTTAACCACTTACTTTTCTAAGCATGTACAGGTACTGACCCATTTAGAAGGTTTGCTTTCCCAGCAGTCATCATGGACACACAGGAATTTCAAAGTGAGAAAAATCTGACCTGGAAATTATCTTCAAATTTAATGACATTTCAGTGAATATTGTGGGTTTTTTTAATTGAAGTGTAGTCAGTTTACAATGTGTCAATTTCTGGTGTACAGCATAAAGTTTCAGTCATGCATGTATTTGTTTTCTTTTTTTTAGTTTTCTTTTGGGAGGGGAGGTAATTAGGTTTACTTATTTATTTTTAGAGGAGATACTGGGTATTGAACCCAGGACCTCATGCATGCTAGGCATGTACTCTACCACTGAGCTATACCCTCCCCACCTCAATGAATATTAAATTTAATATCTTATGAGGTTGGTAAGTTACTCTTTTGAGCGTTTAATCCAGTATTTATTCATTTCAATTTTGCAAGGTTCTGAGTTTTTGGGGTTTTTCTGAAGCCAATTTTTTTTGGTTTTTTTTCCCGGTGGGTTGAGCATTTGCCCTGTGTACTCTTTGCAAACATTATTTCCTTTAATTGGCTCGTTAGTCCTTCAAGGTAGTTAGAACTCATACCCTTTAACAGGATCGGAAACATTAGGTAGTTTTCCCCAGGTCCCTCAGCAGGTGGCGTGACAGAGAGGCTCTGCTTTGCCTGAGGCCAGTCCCCTTGCTGTTGCCATTGCCTCCAGGGAAGGGGCTGTCTCAGAGCACCTGCTCTGCTGTGTCACCCCCAAGACCAGAAGGAACTGAAGAACTACTTTTTCTCTTTCCTAGGAAGAGAGTTCTCTCTCCTCACTTCTAGGAGATACTCCACCTGGAATCCTACTCAGAGCAAGAGGATCTGCTGCCCTCAGGTGAGTGTGAGGCACAGACTGAGGACCCTCGGAGCCCTCAAAGCTTCAGCGACTTCCTGGTTGGTTCCACATCTCTGTACTCTCTGCCCACCATCTTGGGGAGGGGCGCTGGTGGTCCTCCAGATCTGCATGGATGAAGGGAGCACTAAAGGGCAGCCACGAAGGCAGGGGCTGGGAGGAGAGAGGAGAGGAACCAATCACTAAGGCTGCCGCGCAGGTGCTTTCTCTCTTTTGCTTCCCATCAATCCTCATCACAGTCCTGAAGGCAGTGTCCTCCAGACACCTGCCTGCTCCTCTCTGCCTGGTTTGTGTTCCCTTTTCTGGAGCTCCCAGCACCACTGCTCCTCTCCTGCCACTGCCGACATCCCAGTTGGAGCTCCCTTTGCTAATGCAGTAGGCTCCTGCCTCCCTCAGGCTCTCATACCCCTGCAGTTTTTTCAAAACACGAGTCTAATTCCATCATCCTGTCACCACCGGGCCCTCCCCTATTCCCCCCAACCCTAAACCCCTTCCTTCCAGCCCAAATGAAAAACACCATCCAAACCTCAGAAGGCTTCCTCTTGCCTTGGGGTAGACAGACCTGCATGGCCCTACCCTGTCTGAATGATAAGGAGTCAGCCACTAGAAGAGTGAATGAAAGATCCTTTCAGAAAAAGGGGACAGCATGTGCAAAGGCCCTGAGGGGAAAAAAAAGGGCTTGAGATATTCAGGGAGCAGAGAGAAGTCCAGTGATAACTGTAGCACAGTGTGTGTGGGGAAGAGGGGCAGGAGTTGAGGCTGGAGAAGTAGCAGGGGCTGAAACCTGCAGAGTTGGGTGGGTCCTAGTAAGGAATATGGATATAATTCAAGTGTATGGGAATCCATTAAAATAGGGAGGTGACATGATCTGATTTATATTTTTTGAAAGATCACACTGTCTCCTGAATCTGGAAACTATAATGGAGTAGGGGGACAGAAGCCCCGTTAGGCTTTTATTGTCGTCTTAGGAAGAGACAGTGACATCAGGAGTCAAGAAGCAGAGAGACCTGGGACGTGTTTTGGAGACTGATTTTTTGACACTTGCTAATGGCTGGGCTTTGGGAGTGGGAAGGAAGGGAAAGAAAGGGAGAAGTCAAGGATGCGTCCCAGTGTGTGTGGCTTAAGCAGCTGAACGGTGTGTAGGGTTTGTGAGATGGAAAGTGAAGGGTTCGGGGTAGGGGAAAGCTATCAAGAGTTCAGTTTTGAACTCATTAACCTTAAGATTAACCTGTGAGAAGTGCAAATGGAGGTGTCACGTAGGTCAAATATACCGGCTGGGCTTCAGAGGAGAGGCCAGGATTAGAGAAAAAACAATTTCTACTCAAGTTTCATGTATTTGTGACAAATTACGGGAACTGCGTGAATAACTACCGTGGAACCACAGGCAAAGGCAGAAGAACACGCTAGGCTTGGTTCCTGAAGATCTAAATTTCCATCTAGATAATGCTACCTATCAGTTGTATGGCGTGGAGCAAATGCAAACCTTTGTGTTCTTATTTACAAAATGGGCATCATTGATTTTTACGTATTCAATCTAGGGATGTCTCATAAATTGTTGTCTAGCCATGTCCTGTCAGAATGCTTACCCATTTTAACCAGAATTTTCCCAAGTTCCAGAGCATGGGTACGTAAGGGTCATTTAACAATAATGACCCAAATTCCTGCAGCTCGCTCCCACGCCTGCTGATACCAGCTCTGCCACTTCCCTCCCGGACATTTCAGGCCACCCTCACATTGAATCTCACGTTGGTTCAAAAGCAGGCTCCCCTGCTGCTCTGTCCCATCACAGCTAAGCCCTCAGCCTGCAGGATCTGAGCAGCAGGTGACCACATGGGCTGGAACGGTTCCATCTCCCCTGTGCCATGGTGGGGAGGGGGTCTCAGGGCACTCTTAGTTTCCCCCGATCCCAACAATATTCACCTTGCCTCACCTGCTCAGAGGGTGGTTGCCAGTCATGACGCAGGAGAGTAAATGGGGACGTACTTGCAGTCCACCGTGTGCAGACTCCGCCACGTGCAGATTTCCTTTGCAGATATTCTTCCCAGTCCTTACAACATCCCTGCTTGGTGGGTAATTATTATCTTTATTTGGCAAAGGGAGAAATAGACACAAACTGGTGAATAACTTGCCTCAGGACACACGGCTTCAGCTGACATCAGGATGCTGTCAGTCTGGGCTCTTTCTGCATCATCAAGCTGCCTCTCCAGCAAACAGTAGGGTCTCATAACTTCATCCAAGCCCACTTCCTTGTGTTCTCTGCTCTGTGACAGATCTCTCTGAGGCCTGTTAAGAGTGAGGGTGACACTTTGTTGAGCCCGAGAGTGTCTTCTGTAACAAATCCCAGTAACTATTTCAACACTGTAGAAGTCAGTAGGTGTTGGACAACGAGCTGCATGGTGGATGGGGCGTCCTTTCAGCTTTCTTCTTCCCATTCAAGTGCCATGTTTATATAAAAGGAAACTGATGATTGTTGAGGCTGGTGGACTGCTTGTCTGCCATCTGTTTCGCATTGCCAAACTCCTACTCATCCTTCAAGACAGAACAAAAGTGTCTTCTCTCCTTGGAAGCCTGCCAGCTCTCCCCCAGACAGAATCAAGCGTTCCCCATTCTGGCTTCCTTGGATACTCTGTTGGTACTGCTTGTGGTCGGCTATTAGCTGTTCCCCAATATTTGTTGTTTCCTCTCTCTATAAAAAGAAGAGAACATTTTTAGCTGGGCATGTACATGGCCAGAATAAAGATTGCACTTCCTAGCCTCCCTTACATCAATGTGTAGCCATGTGAATAAGAGCCAGTTAATGAGATATAAGTGGATATGCCATGTGGCAGTTTCTGGGAGCCTTCCCTGAAAAAACAGCTCACGTGAATCTTTCGTCTCTTTGTCCTTTTCTCTGTTCTGCTGCCTGGAATGTGAATATGATGACTGGAGCTCTAGGTGCCATCTTGGATCCTTAAGAACAAGGGCCTTATCTTAGGAAAGGTGGAACTGTGGGTGGAAGAAGTCAGAGTCCCCGACGACTTATCGCAGCAGAAATACCACATACACCCTGAATTGCCTACTTTCAGACTTTTGTGTGGGAGAGAAATTTCTGCCTAGTTTGAGCCATTATTAATTTTGGGTCTCACATATGTCATTCACATATGAATCTAATCCTAAGTTACATGACCTCTCTAATAAACATGTGGTACTTTCCATACCTTAGCATAATTGTCTATTTACTGTTATCTCCCCTGCTAGACTGGGAGCTCCTCTGGGCCGGGACTAGGTTTCAGGTTCTGCGCAGTGCCAGACACATTAGTAGTTGCTCAGTGAAGTGTGTCCCGAAGGAGATGTGGTGAGTGATCGCATGAAGAACTGCACAGTGTCCACGGAGCACTTAACTCATGCACTTTGCATGCGTTATCTGACTTCATCCTCATGAGAACCCTAGCAGGAAACCAAGGCAATCGAAAGGGCCAGTGACTTGCCGAAGATCACCAGCCGCTGAATGGCAGGGCTGGAAATGGAACCCCAGTCCCCAGCCCCTGTGTTTTCCACATCAGCCACTGCTTCCCACCATGCTCCCCGGCTGGAGGGCTGAGTTGTCTAGCTATGTCTCCCTCTACATGTTCCTTTGCTGCGAACAGGGAGAAATACCTAGGAAATTGCGTGTATACTTTTGTATTCCTCTCACGGCCAGTTTTACCAAATTTGTTCATCTATTTTTTCCTCTTCTGGAGTCTTCTGATATAAATTCAACCAGCGAGAGAGCCTTTTTTGCCAAGAATCCAGCGGATGGCTCACAAATACAGAATACTGCAAAAGGTACATTAACCACCTAAAAGGGAAATGTAGGCTTTTGATTTAGGTTATTTTCCCAAAACCTTAGTTCCTTGTATTTTTTTTTTAATTTAGTCTACCACCCTCATTTACACCTGTGTTTCTAGCCTTGGGCTTTGGCGTCAAATAATATCTTATAAGAAGATGTAATTGTCTTTTCAGTCCAACAAGCACTATTAAGTTCTGCTTTTGTGATGGTGAGTTCAGCACAGTGCTAATGTCTATGGAGAAGAGAGATTGTTGGCAGTGGGAGAAAGTAAATCTAGAATATTCTATATTCTATCATAGCACCTGAGTTAGTGTTACACTTATTATTTACACGTCTGTTTTTTCTTACTAAGCTGTGAGTTCCTTGAAGACAGTCTACTTCCAGCACCCTGGGTGGGCCCAGCACATGGTAGAGGTTCTGTAAATGTTGGATGGCTGGAATGAAGGATGGGCAGATACATTAGTAGATGGACAAGTATATGGCTACAAGTATATATCTGGCTAAAATGCGAGTGAAAGTCTGTGAATTCATAGAGCTACTTCCTCTAGCATCTCCCAATGATCTGAAACTATCCAGGCATTTTCACATTAATCAGAAGCTGAGATCTACCATATGCCCTTTCTTACCACAGCTGACAAGCTCTGTTGATCATTTTTTGCTAATATTGCATTGACAGAGCATAATTATCCGACTCTGGCCTTGAGGAAAACAACACAACAAGTGAAGGGGATACCAGTAGCAAAAGAATACGAGCATATGCTTCCTAAGCAGGTGAGCGCAAGATTTGAAATTTAATAGTAGATGTGATTTAAAAGCGGCTAGGAGAGCTGGCTAGAAAAACTAGCTCTGTGAAGATTTCAGGGTAAGAACTGGGTTATTTCTGATTGTACACTCAGATGATACAGTCAGGAAATCTCCTAAGAGTAATTACTGACTGAGGTATGCACAAGTTGAGTGAGCATTTTGCCTGGATTTCTCCAGGATTTAAATTACTTGCTTGAAGCTCGGGAACCTGGGTGTAATGGAAAGAGATGGCTGAGTCTCAGTTTCCTACTGTATAAAATGGGGGCAATAATTCCTAGGTCACTGTGTTTTTATGAGGTTTACCTGAGGCAGTGATGATAATGAACATGTAATGAACACTTACTCACTACTTGTCAGGCACTATACTAAACCTGAGCGTGCAGGATCTTTTATTTTACTGTCACAGCCTCTCGAGAGAATTATTCCTGCTATTCTTTAGTTTATTAGTGAGGAAAGTGATGCTCAGAACAGGTAACTAATTTGTCCAAGTTCACAAAGCAAGTAAGTGATACAGCCAAGGCTTCACAAAGCAAGTAAGTGATACAGCCAAGGCTTGCGTTCAGGTCTGACTCTGAGCTCTTAACTTCTGAGCTCTGCCACCAGCACAGTCCCCAGAAGGCAAGAGGCACAGGAGTAACATGTTTTCTCTCCTCTTCTCCTCCCCTTCTCCACACACCTCAGCGCACTGTAGTTTACATCAATGGCACGTTCAGTCTTAGGTAGAGGGAAGAGGCCCTTAGGATCCTGAACAGGGCAAGAGGTTTTGAGGTTTCCCCAGGCCACCACCTAGCAAGGGAGTCAGGCCATAGGACTTGGGTCAAGTATAGCAAGTACTGTAGATTTCTTGAACTTTCTTCATTTCTCCATAATTATTCCACTGCCTATCTCCCCTCAGCATTTAGCAGTGAAACTTTTGAGAAGGAGCAGGGCACGGTGGAAAAGAGAGACAGACGCGGGTTCAAATCTTGGTGCTGCGTCTCCTCGGCTGTGTTACTTGAGCAAGTTGTTTAACCTTTCTGACCTTCTATAAAATGGAGGCAATGAAGCCCAGCAGTGTTGTGGTCCTTCCTGCTGACAGGGCTGGTGGGGTTGCCCTAGAGATAGAGGAAAGGAGATGAGTCATCGTGTCCCACTCTGTGATCTGCCCTGGCGGGGTGGGGAAGCCCAACAGTTAGAGCGGATGGTGGCAGATTTCAGCAGGAGTGGAAGGCAGCTGAAGGCCTGCGCGTGGCCTGGCAGACACATGACGGGGGAGTGCCTCAGCCAGCTATGCCGGGGGGCCCCGCTGGCTGCTCCTGACTGAAGAGCCAGCGCGTGACTCCACCACTTTAACAAGCGCACCACTGATATAATCTGCTGCCCGCCCGCCCCTTTTTAATACCATAGTTTTTATCAAAAAGATAATCTTTGCCCATGGTAAAAATCAAACAGGCTATGTAATTTAAGGCTATATAATAAAAGGTAAATCTCTCTTCCACGCCAGACCCTATGCCCCTTTTCCAGAGACAAACAAAATTTCCCATATATCCTTCTAGAAATCTATGAGGCATGTCAAGGAATATAAACCTTTTTTTAAAATACACATTGGTATATTATATTCATTATTTTGCACCTTGCTTTTTCAACCTAACATATAATAGCTCACAATTATTGAGAGCTTACATTCCAAACACATCATACCTATTAATTCATTGAATCCTAACACAGCCCTATGAGAAGGAGGTTTTATTTATTATCTCCATTTTATAGATGAGAAAACTAAGACTCAGAAATATTAAGTATTTTGCCCAAAGTCAAATAGCTAGCAAGTGGTAGAGCTAATTATATCTTTCTTTAATAATATAATTCACATACTGTAAAATTCAGCATTTTTATGTACAATTCAGTGGTTTTTAGTATAGTCACAAGGTTGTATCATTATCATCCCTAATTTCAGAACATTTTTGTCACCCAAAAAAGAAACTCCATAGTCATCAGTGGTCACTTTCCCAGCTTGGTCCCCTCTCCCCCTAGCTTCTGGAAACCACTAATCTACTTTCAGTTTCCATGGATTTACCTATTCTGGACATTTCATGTAAGTGAAATCATACAACATGTGGCCTTTTGTGACTGATTACCTTCACTTAGCATCATGTTTTCAAGGTTTGTCTATGTCGTAGCCTGTGTCAGTACTTCAGTTCTTCTTATGGCTGAGTAGTATTCCATTATATGACTACACCTGTCCTGTAGAAGTGGTCATTGAAGGCCATCCCTTACAGTGTCAGTATGTGCCGGCAAACACTGAAGAAAATTAAAATTTCAGTAGATAAATAGGTTAATTGTGAAACGTTCATAATATGGATACTCTGTTAAAACAGATTTATATCATCTGATATGAAAGATTGTCAGTCAACAAAGTCTAAAGTTAATAAATCAAGAGAATACTATAGGCAATGTGTTTAGATACTAATGAGTGAAAAATTAAAGTTATAAACATTGTGTGTATTATGATTCTATTTTTATTTTTAAAATATGTTTTTGGTATAAAATTGGTATGTGCATATAAAAAAGTTTGGAAGGATACATGGAAAAGCATTAATGGTATTTATTCCTGGGAAATGCAGGTGAGGATGAGGACTTCTATCATTTATTTTATATATTTCTACATTGTATGAATTTTCCACAATGAACATAAATTTATCTTGTTAAAAAAATAAGGGTTTTTACACAGAGATAGCAGAAACTGATATCTAAATGTCAAAATAAAGAACTATAAAAAAAGAAATACAGTTGGCCCAGAACAAGAAGGAGGTTGGTTCCACTTCAGATGGTCCCATCTGGCATGTGCTCAGGGAGAGGGACCAGGCTGGAGAGAGAAGGGCCCGGGAGTTATTGAAGGCACTGAATATGTTTGGGTTGGAGAAGCAAAACTTAGAGAAGATGTGAGGGCTCTCCTCAGATATTTTAAAGACTGTTATGTAACACACAGTCCTGGAGGGAGAGGGCTGGAATTACAAAGAGGCAGATTTTTATCTAGGGTAAGAGAGAACTTCATAAGAGTCCAAGCTGTCATTTTAAACCAGCTCTCCCCTCTAGCTCTTCTCAGACCGTCTGCAGGTTCCTGTTCTAGCTCTGGCTCTCAAGCCATGTCATTCCTCTTGCCGGTGTCCTTGTCAGTCTCCTCCTCTGCTTTCTACCTGCCCCTTGGAGCTAATGTTCCAGAACGTCTCTCCTCTTGTTCAGTGGCCTATCTTTGCCCAGTCCGGTGGCTGTGATTCAGTTCTTCCACTCCCATCCCAGTTGCTGCACCCAAAGCCCCTCCCCGCCCCACACCTGGGAGCAGAAACCAGTTGCTTACCGACAACAGAGCTAGATGTTTCAAAAGGCAGCGCGTTCCTTGTTTCCAGAGAGAGGGAAGCAAAAATGGACAAGTACCTATTGAGAACATTACTGAAATGACGTGTATCAGTTGGGATTCTTTGCTGACAAGTAACAAAATCTGCCAACTTGAGCAAAACTGGAAGAACACTGAGTCACTGGGCAGTGTGAAAATCGGTCCAGGGACCAGGAGAAGACTCGAGGCAGTTGCAACCCTCGAACCATCTCTTCAAGGTGACATCTCTGAAACAGGTGAACCCCCATGTGTTTTCAGCCTATATTTCACTTTACTCAAGACTCAAAATCCCAGAAGCGGAAGTTTTGATTTACCAAACTTTGTCCACGTGCTCCGGCTCTAACTGGGTGGGTGAGAGGAAGGCTGGGGCTGGCGGAGCCTGTGAAGGCCTCTGAGTAGCCCCCCTGTGGCCTTTGGTGGGGAGCAAAACACTTGATTTTAAAGTCCATCAAGCCCCAATGCAGTAGAGGGCAAATAAACTCCCCCAAATACACAAGAGTTGGGGTGGTTAAAAGGGGAGTGAATACTGGGCAGCCACAAGAACACGTGGATAAATGTGGATCTAGATTTGTGGATCCTAGATCCCCTTTGGACTTTTCTAGACTTTGAAAAACTTTTTTCCTCTAAGTAAGTTCATTAAAACAAAAATGACTGCTATCTGGTATCACCATCATTTCATAAAAGAAACGTCATTAATGTGAAAAAGTAGAAAAGACAATCTCAGAATAAAAGAGAGTCCTTAAAGTGAATACATTTACTTTAGGTCAGGTTTATTACAATGTATTTTTCCTTGTTTCCCTCATTTTGCTGGAGCCCAGTGAACACAGACTGGCCCCCATTTGGAGATGAGGTTTTAGGAATCATTGGACTAAATAATCTATAGTTTCCCTACTAACCCCACGTCTCTATGATTCCAGTGGGACCTTGCTATAGATTAGTGGTTCTCAGCTGGGGTCACTTTTGCCCCCTAGGAGACATTTGGCCATGCCTGGAGACATTTCTGGTTGTCACAGCTGAGGGTGGGGGGCAGAGTACTACTGGCATCTATCAGGTCGAGATCAGGGATGCTGCTCAACATCCTACAGTGCACAAGACGGTCTCCCACAATAGAGAATTACCTGGCCCCAAATGTCAAAGTGCCAAGTTTGAGGACCCTGCTATAGACAGAAGAAATCTCATTAAGCAGTGAAAATGAACAGGATTAGAAAGTAGTGTGGTTAGGTGCTGCTGCAGCCTTTATTCATGAGACAGCATTTGTCTGGTTAAATTATAATCGCTTCTTCAAAATAATTTTTTTAAACTACAAAAGTAGTACATAATCACCACTGACATTTTTGGGGAAAGGCAGAGGAATATAAGGAAGGAAAACAAATCACTCTTAGCCCTTGCCAGTCTCTTTCTTGATCTCTGTTTCTTCTTGGCTGTCTATTAGCATCTCAAATACAGCCCGTCCAAAGCAGACCTCTTTTTTTTTTTAATTGAAGTATAGTTGGTTTATAATGTGTCAATTTCTGGGGTGCAGCATAATAGTTCAGTCATATATATGTACATATATTTGTTTTCATATTCTTTTTCATTATAGCTTACTATAGGATATTAAGTATAGTTTCCTGTGCTATACATTATAAACTTGTTTTTCTGTTTTATATGTAGGAGTTAGTATCTGCAAATCTCAAACTCCCAGTTTATCCCTTTCTACCCTCTTCCTCCCCTGGTAACCACAAGTTTGTTTTATATGTCTGTGAGTCTGTTTCTGTTTTGTAAATAAGTTCGTCGGTCTTTTTCTTGGATTCCACATGTAAGTGATATCACATGGTACTTTTTTTTCTCTTTCTGGCTTACTTCACTTAGAATAACAATCTCCAGGTCCATCCATATTGCTGCAAATGGCATTATTTTATTCTTTTTTTATGGCTGGGTAGTATGCCATTGTATAAATATACCACAACTTCTTTATCCACAGAACAGACCTCTTGATTTTCCTGCTCCTTCAACCTGTTCCTCTCCAGGTCTTCCCACCTGAGCAGCTGGCACCTAGCCCTTTAGAGCCATCCTTGACTCTTCTCTTTCTCACACCTACATTGACTCCAGCAGTAAATCCTGCCAATTCTGCTTTCATGGTTTATTGCAAATTCCATCACTTCTCACCTGTCTCCCAGCCACCCGTTCCTAGCCTCAAAACCCCCTGAACTACTGCAGTCATTTCTCCACACATCAGCTCAAGGGGTCTTTAGGAAAAATTAATCAGGTTATGTTGTGCCCTAGCTCAAAACCTTCCAGTGGCTTCCATCACACTTAGAACAGATCCTGACTCCTTCCTGTGGCCCAGAGACCCCACATCAGCCTCATCATTTATTCTCATTTGAGCCATGCAGGCCTTGTTTCTGTCCCTCAGCTGCACTAAGCTTTGTCTGCCTTAGGGTCTGTTGCGCTTGCTGTCCCTTTGCCTGGAACATGGCACAGATCTTCCTTCTCTCATTCAGGATCCACCAGGATCACTCCTCCTCAGGGCAGCCCTCCCCAACCATTCCATGGAAAAGATTCCTCTCTTCCCCGGTCTCCCATCCCACCACCCACATCCCTTGCCCTGCTTGATTCTTGTCTGAAGTACTTATTATTCCATAATATCATGTTATTCTTTTATTTCTTGATTTATTTACTGTTTTTCTCTCAACTATAATATTAGCAATCTCCACAAGGGCTGAAATTTGTCTTATTCTCCGCTTAAACTCCAGCATCTAAAACAGTGTATATACATAGTAGTCACCAATAAATTTTTGCTGAATGGATTGTTAACAGTTTGGTAACTATGCTTCTAGTATCTTATTTATCTTTTTTTTAATTGATTTCATATAATTATATTTATTTCATATAAAATACATAGTAGTATCTACCTAATTTTGTATCTTAATTTTTAAAATCTACTATGATAGCTGAAACAGTACTTTAGTACCAATTCTTCATGAATATTTTAATTATGCCATTGGGTAGAAATACCAACATTTTCTCCTTGAACATTTAGGTTGTTCTAATCTGTTGCTATAGTAATTATCACTGCAGTAGACATCTTAGTGCCTAAATCTGTTTTTTTTCTTTTTTGTGGATAATTTCTGTAGGAAAGCATCCTAAAACTGGAGTTACTGGATAAAGGATATTAATACCTTTACATTTCTTAATACGGGCTGTAAAAATGACAATATCCTTCATTTTTTTCCTCTCTTCTTCCTGCCCAGTCTTACCCTGTCTGCAGAAGCCCTGAGCTAACTTCAAACCTCTTTAACATTTACGGGAAGAGCCCTCTGATTGTGTACTTCCTCTATAAATACGCCACTCTGCGGCAGCATGGTGAAGACGTGTTGATAATCAGGAGGGAAAAAGCCAAGACCATCCCATATCCTTTCCACCATGGGCAGGACACGCATTACTCCAGGCCTCAGCTTCCTCTTCCCAGAAGCCGGGGTGGGAAGAGAGGCATCCAGCCCTTAGCACAGTCCCTGACACATAGCAGGGGCCTGTCAAGGGTGACCATTGTTACGAGCCTATGGGTCAGAATCTTGCTCATTTTAGTTCCAAATCCGCCTCATGCACTGGCTATATGGAACCCTGGGCAAGTCAGATTTCCCTGTGTGCAAAAATCTCTTCCTATCTACTGGAAAGAATGGGCTACTTAGGGACTCTAACAAACTTCATACTTTGCAACTCAGTAATGCCTCCCACATGCTCATTGACCCCAGAGTGTATGTATTGATCAGGAATTTTGGTATCTAGGTATGTGTTTCATCTGACACCCTCCTCACACACACCCTTCCTCCAGACCCATCAGCAAATTCCTGGCCCCGTTGACATTTATCCTAAAGATATAGTAAAAAGCTCAGATCTTAAGAAAACGGGTTTGATATGTGTTGGTATCCTGAGTCTTAGCAGTTTACCATAGAGGGTCAGAACCTGGAATCAAGTAGACCTAGACTCAGGAACCAGTTCAACTGCTTACCAGCTGAGTTATCTTGGGCAAGTTCCAGCTTCTCTCTGAGCCTCATGTTTTTTTCACCTATAAAATGGGAATAACAGTACCTCCCTCATAGAGTTGTTGTGCAGAGTCCAGGCACAGTAGAGGTAAAGGCTTAGCACGGTGCCTGGCAGGCAACAAGTGATTGAATGTCACCCATCTGCATGCAGAAGGAGTCTTCATAATGAAGTAGGTAGGACTTAAGTCCTGCCGTATGACACTTCATATCCACAAACCTATTTATATATGTATAGGAAGAGAATAACAACAACTCAGTTCATAGCACTTTATTGTTTATAACGTGCTTTCCCTTATATCACCTCATTGTTCCATGACAACAGTTGAACGCAGTAGAAGTAGTCTGGGTTACACAGCCCTAGATTTGAACCCCAGCTCAGCAATCCACTGGTTTTAAGATCTCATGTGCACAGCTTAACCAATAAGCTCAACATCTTTACCAACTCATTCCTAAAATAAGGATACTTATACCAAACCAATAGTGTTGTGACCAGGGTTAAATGGCATACAACTGGTACTAAAAAAAATAATAACTATCATTATTATTATTAATGTCATCTAAGGTAGGTATAGATCCCTACTTTATAAATAAGAAAATGGAGACATAGAGGATGACATATATTGTCTGAGGTCCCGCAGCTTGTGATGAGTGTAGCTGAGATTGTGACCAGTTCAGAAGGGGTGGAGGGATTGGGGAGGTACAGAGAACTTTTCAGCAAACAAACATGAGATAAGGGAGGAGGATTGGGCCCAAAAGGAAAGGAAAATTGGAATCCTTTCCAATTTACCACTGTGATAACAGAGTAAGAATTTTAGATGACAACCTAAGAAAAGCATTTCCTAGCCCTTCCATCAGCAGGAGGGGAGAAGAACTTTATTAAAAGATGGGGAACAGCATAGCCATGGAGAGGATAGCTAACCTCTTTCTTTCCAAAGCAGACCATGATCAAAAAGCAGGCCACGGAATTATTTCCGGCTCAGATTTCCTGAAACAGTTTTCTACACCCTGCCCTCCCCCCCACCCCCAATCCCCCTCCTCCCCGTGCACTAGACACAGCCAACTAATAATAATGCTGAGTCAACACCGGCTGACAGTGTAGGGTTTTCCTTGACATGAAAGCCACTGAGTCCACCCTGACGTACACTGAGGTCATCAGCCTGAGCCTGAGCAGCATGAGAAAGTGGAGGGATAAATTGCGCCAGTTGAACCAGCTTCACTGGAGTGAATGGAATTACTTCGACAAGTACCTGAAGGAGCTGCACCACAACTTCCTCAGGTATTTAAGGGTCTTTCGGGGGCAGTGCCATGGTTTCAGCATTGGAGCATCAATTGCCACACGTCACTAGTATGTAACTGGGGGGCCAGCTCATTCGGTTTTCTTGTGGTCAGAATGGAAACTCCACAATAACAGAGACCAGATCTTTTTTTTAAAAAAAGTTGGGTTTTTTTTTGTAACTATAGAAACATTTCAAAAAACCTGGAAAAAGCACCTGCATATACACATTGCCAACATTTTTCTATAAATCCTTCTGTTCTTTTTTTTTTTTTGAAGAGTGATTTATTTAGTTAGTTTTTGTTTGTTTATTTGTTTTTATTTGTGGGGGACATAATTAAGTTTATTTATTTCTTTGTTTTTAGAGGAGGTACTGGGGATTGAACCCAGGACCTCGTGCATGCTAAGCATGCACTCTGCCTCTTGAGCTAAAGCCTCCCCCATGGACTTTTTTTCTGGGCACATATACCTGCATCTCTAAACAAAAGTAGTGGAGTCATGATGTCAAACTATTTTTTAGACTTTTTTCCCCCACTAGCAGCATATTATGAACATTTTCCTGGGCCTTCTCCATTTGCAATATTTTTATCCTACTTAGAACGATTTCAGACCTTTCAGAAAAGTTTAAAGGATAGTGCTGTGAACACCATATGTGCTCACTGCATTTACAATTATGCACATTTTGCCACATTTTTCTTCTCTCTCTCTAATCATTAGGTCAAATCAGATTTCCCTAATTGTGCCCAAAGTACCATTTTTGGTTTTACTTGCTGCCCCAGGATCCAATCAACATATTTTGATGTTATCACTTTGTTGTCTTTTAGTCTGTAACAGTGCCCTGCCCCACAGTTTGTTGTTATTATTATTTATGACACGGACTGTTTTTAATAATTCAAGCCACATTCTGGATTTTTCTGATTATTTCTTCAAGGTATCACTTAACTTGTCCCAGTAGATCTCATTTTTCCTATAATCTGGACGTGGGATCTATACTAGAGGCTTGATTAGATTCAGGTTAAATCTTTTTGCCAAGAGCGCTTCATAGATGACCTAGTATATTCATGTTATACTCCATCGGAAGAAACTTAATGTCAGGTTGCCCTGCTGCTTGGTTAAGGTGGCCTCTGCCAGACCTCTCCATTGCAAGACTACAGTTTTGTGTTTCTAGTCAGTCAGTAATGAGTGGTGTGATTCTTTGAGGCTGTGAATATGTTTTCTCAACAATCTTCATCCAGTGGTTTTAGCATCTATTGATAATCTTTCCCTAAATCAATTGTTACATTTGGGGTTGCAAAACAGTGATTTTTCTACTTCTACCATTCCTCCTACATTTAATAGCTGGCATTTTTTAATTAAAAAAGAACTCACCTTTTTTTCACTCTGTATCTTTCTCTTGTGTCTTCTCTGCCTACCCTCATAACTCTCTCTTGTGGCAGTTCACAGTGTCAGGGACCCAAGCTCCTTTTATCTTAGTGCTCTATAATCCTCATCCCATGATCAGCCTCATGGTCCAAAATGGATGCTAAAGCTCCAGCCATCAGGTCTACATTCCTGCCAATAGGAAGGAATATGGGTCCAAGAAATGCATTCCTCCTGGAAGTCACAAATAAATTTTCCATTTTCATTCCATTGGCCAGAACTTAGCACCATATCACACCCAGCTGTGTCATTAATGAAGCAAAAATAGTTTAGGATTAACATTAAATTCATATAGGATATTCAATATTAAGTCTACAGAATATTTATTTCAGAAATATATAAGGAAATCCCTTTTAAATAAAGACATCCTTATCAGGTGAATTACAGTCAAGATTTTTAAATTCAGGAGCAATTTTGTAGTTATATGTTAGTAAATACAAAATACATTTTGTAGTTATGTTGCTAAATACATTCACTTTTTATTGGATATGGTATTTTCAAGAAGCTCATCGTGGCTTCTATTAATAATGGGATTCTCAAAGTTTTGTGTCTAGGAAAAAATGGTGTCCTTAAAACTCATCTGTGCTGTTAGACATCAGGGCAGTAGGATATGACTGAGCAGGGGCACAAAGGGGCTTCAGAGTGGCTAGCAATGTTTTGTTTCTTGATCTGGATGCTGGTTACATGGGTGTGCTCAGTACATGAAATCTTGAGCTGCGCATTTAGAGTCTGTGCACTCTGTGGCATCTATTTTATATTTCAAGGAACTTTTAGATAATAGTGATCACCTACATCTACCAGTTTAAAGGACATACTTGTTTACTTGTGAGTTCAGAGCCCTGATCCTGAAGCTTGGGGCAAAGCACCCACAGTTCAAAATGCTCTTTGCAGAACTTTATGAAGTGTTTCAACATATGATTCTGTCTTACAAGCTAAAGGTGCTTTTACTACTGGAAAATAGAGGCCTGAGACGTGTATAGGCTTCAATATCTTAAGAAAAGAGAATACAGAAAATACTATCGAGGAGTTTTTGTTAGAAAATGTGGTCATAACAATGATAAATGCAGTTCTGTTTGTTCTTTGATTCTCCACTGCAAGCAGAATCAGGCTTCAAAAGGTTAAGAAAAAGTTGTGGCAGAGGATCCCAAAAGTGAGAATGTTGTGTCAACACAATTTTTACCTTTGACTAGGGAAAAAGACCCCCATTGTTGGAATAACCACTGGTTTAGGCCCAGTTCAATATACTTTTTAAATACCAGTCATTTTACATCTATTCTGCAGCAGCAGAGAAGTAAAAGACAGCATCTTAATTCACTTGAACATATATTTATTGCTATTTTGGCTGCCTTGAATGTCTGTAACCTGCTTCTTCTTCGAGTAAATGACTACTCATATTTCAAAGGTCAGCTGGTATATTGTGTACCCAAGCTTATCTGAACACATTTTGCTGAAAAACTTCTCCTATAATAACACCAGCAGCAGCAGCCAACATTCACTGAGCACTTCCTGTGTACCAGGCACTGTGCTAAGTGCTTGACCTGTGGTAACTCAGTTTATCCTCACCACAACCCTAGGTTCTATTATTGCCATTGTGAGGCAAGTACACTGGCATGGAGAGGTAAAGTAATTTGCCCAAGGACACACAGCAAGTGACAGAGCCCCAACTTGAATTCAGCCTGTCCTCAAGCTCATGCTTCAGCTTTCTCTCAGATCGTTGGTTTTCCTCACCTGTCTTCCTACTTTAAGCATGTGTTTCATTGAGGTAGGGAGCACATCTCATTCCTCTGTGTCCCCCACGGCTAGGTGACTCCCAGCACGGAGCAGGGGCTTGGTGACTGGGTTGCTGTGTGGTCAGCTCTCTGCTCGTCAGTTGCTCTTGACAGATGTAATGAGTGAACTTGTAAGTATTTGTCTCTCTTTATGTACGAAGATAGGAGTGAAAAGATAATGCTGACTCTTTAGTCTTTTTCCTTGTGTCTTTGTGCTTTCCCCACAGGGAAGTGAAGAATCTCAAAGAGCAAGAGATAAAAAAAAGGCAAACCACATGTTCCTCCAGCCTTCACCTCTCATTGAGGAATCCCCTGAAAAGAAACCTAGAAGAAGCCATCAGAGGAAGACTGAGTTTCTTTTAAGGTTTGCAAGAATGAAGACTGTGGGAAAAGTAGAAATGTGAATACTGCAAGAATTTGTAATATATGGGAAAGAACACAGAAAAGCCCACTCACTTTTATGTGTTGCTCAACTCTCATTTTTATTATTACTAATGGTAGTAGTAAGAGCTACCAATGACTTTATACTTCCTCTGTGCCAAGCATTTGTACTTTATGAACTGTATGTCAGAGCTCTTAGGTTGCAAATGCCAGGAAACCAGCTCAAACTAGCTTGAGTGGAAGGAAAATCTCGTGGCTTCAGTAACTGGGAAGGCCACAGACAGGCTGGCTGCAGGCACACTGGATCTAAGGGCTCAATGATATTTTCGATTCTCCCTCCCTTTCTCTCTCAAACCTCTTTTCCTCTGTGTGCTGGCTTGCTTGTCAAGCTGCCTCTGACCTCAAAGAAAGAAAAAGGGCCACAAACAGCCCCATGCCTATGTCCTTACGGTGCCTGACCTAAAAGGAAGAGACACCCTCTCCCAGCCTCCATAAACCAAGCCTCATCAAAGCCTCTGATGCCTCTGCTTGGGTCATGGCCCCACCCATCCTGTCTGAACCAACACCGTGTTCAGAAAGAAGCAGTGCTGTGATTAGCCGGACCTGATTGTCCCTGTGGCCTGAGAGAGCAAGACAAAGTCAGTGGCATGTAGTAGAATGGGTGAGATGCCATCAGACAGAAACCACATGCCCACTTTATTTATATCTGAACACAACTCTATTAGATAACATAACACCTGTTTTACTGAATAGAAAACTGAGGCACAGAGAAGCCAAGTAAACACTGAATAAAGACCTACTATTCCAGGCACTAAGGATACAAAGAAATAAATAAGTTAAAGTTCTTGCCCTCAAAGGTTCATAGTGTAGAAGGAGGAGAAAGGTATGTAAATAGATAACGTGCAACAAATTTCAGAGGTCCAAAGAGAGGACTTCAAAAGAGAACAGAGTTCTTTATATTTGCTAGGCTAAGGGGAGGGCAAGAATGGGCTGGCACTCTAGGCAGAGAGCTGTTCAAGCCACTTTGCAGAGCTGAAAGCTACCAGCCTCCCAGTGGGTCTGGCTGGTCAGGGAGTAAAGGAGAGTTGAGGAGGGAATGAGGGGCTTCAGAAGGTCTCACATGCCACACCTGGATTCTGCTATCCTGTAATGCACAGGCATCCAAGAGTCTACAGAAATTATAATTTTCAACTCTGGAATTTACATCCATTATTCTAAATAACATGCTTACAAATGCATTTCTTGATTTTCTTCATTTTAGATGTTATCTGTTCATAATGGTTTCCAGGTTGTTAAAAGCTGTCAAAAACTAAGCAGCATTATTTACCATATTTGCAAATGTATCATATATGTTCCATGTATATTCTATTAATATATTCTGTCAGAGAATGTGATCATAACCAGGACAAATAGAGTTTGCTGCTTGTTTTTTTCCTCTCCCATGCAAGCAGATATAGACTTCAAGAGGTTAAGAAAAAGTTATGGCAGAAGATCCTAAAAGTGAGAATATATCTTATAAATTTCTTTTTTTTTTTTTTTTATCTTGAATTTCTCCTCAGGCCCTCATCTTCCTTCAATCTGGGCTGGTGTGCTCAAGATCTGCTTTCAGTTACCATTTTGGGGCTCTTCTTCACCATTATCCTAGGACTTCCCTTAGTCAGCTTTACTTTGTTGGTGTCTCTTTCCCAGGTCACATGTCTTTCTCTTTCTTGTTTTACTCCCACATTTTGCTGGAGCACATCTTCTAGTAACTCTCGAAGAAAAGGTACATAGAAAGTTTTTTTAATCTTTACATATCCAAAATGACTGCTCTTGATTAATATGTGACAGATGTTTTGCTGGTAATAAAATTCTAAGTTAAAAGTCAATTTGCCTACAACACTGTAAACTGACTATACTTAAATAAAAAAGAATGCAAAAAAAAAAGTCAATTTGCCACAGAATTTCGAAAACTTTTTTTTTCTACTTTCTAGTTTTGCTGTTTAAAAATTTGATGCCATTCTGATTCCTATGGCATTCTCTGTTATCTTCCCCCCAAGCCCCCCGCCCAGCCATGGAAGGTTTTGGGATATTGTCTTTGTCCCTCTTATTCTGATGTTTCACAATTATGTGCCTTGGTGTGACTCTTTCTTTTTTTTAATGTTTCATTGGGATTGAGAAGCCCTCTCAGACTGGAGAGCTGTGCCCTTCAATTCTGAGAATTTTTCTTTATTACTTCTTTGATAGTTTTCTTCCCTTTATTTTCCTAACTCTGTTTTTTGAAACTGTTATACTCAGTTGTTGTACCTCCCTGACCGATTCTCTAGTTTTCTTATCTTTATTCTCCTGTTGGCATCTGTATGAATTTCTGTCCTACTTTCATTTTATATTCCACTGAGTTTTTTCTTCCTTCCCAATCTTTATACTTTTTATTTTATTTTATTGTCTTATTGCACTAGCTAGAACTTCCAATACAATGTTGAAAAGCAGTGGTGAGAGGAGACATCCTTGCCTTGTTCCTGATCTTAGTGGGAAAGCTTCAAGTTTCTTACCATTAAATATGATGTTAGCTGCATTTTTTGTGATATTTTTTATCAAGTTGAGGAAATTCCCCCTATACCTAGTTTGCATCATGAATGAGTGTTGGATTTTTAAAGTGCTTTTTCTGCGTCTATTGACATGATCATGTGATTTTTCTTCTTTAGTCTGTTGATGTGACAGATTATATTAATTAATTTTTAAATGTTGAACTGATCTTGCATACCTGGGACAAATTTCACTTGGTCGCAGTGTACAATTGTCTTTATACACTGTTGGATTGCTTTGCTTATATTTTGTTGAGGATGTTTGCATCTATGTTCATGAGAGGTACTGGTCTATAGTTTTGTTGTAACATCTTTGGTTTTGGTATTAGGTTAATTCTTGACTCGTGGAATAAGTTAACAATCCCTCTGCTTCTATCCTCTGAGAGAGATTGTATATAATTGGTATAATTTCTTCCTTAAATATTTGTTAGAATTCCACCAGTGAACCCATCTGAGCCTGGTACTTTCTACTTCTGAGGTTATTAATTTTTTATTCAATTTCTTTTACATATATATATTCAGATGGTCTATATCTTCTTGTGTGAGTTTTGGCATATTGTGTATTTTAAGGAATTGGTCCATTTCATTTAGGTTTTCCAATTTGTGGGCATAGAGTTGTTCATAGTACTCCTTTATTATCTTTTTAATGTCCATGGAATTGGTAATGATGTTCCCTCTTTTGTTTCTGATATTAGTAATTTGTGTCCTCTCTCTTTTTCCCTTAGTTACCCAGACTAGAGCTTATTTTCAAAGAACCAGCTTCTGGTTTTGTTGATTTTTCTTTACTTATTTCCTGTTTTCAATTTCATTGACTACTCTAATTTTTATTATTTCTTTCTTTCTTTTTCTTTTTCTTTTGCTTACTTTGGATCTAACTTGCTCTTTATTTTCTAATTTCCTAAGGTGGATACTTAGATGAATGATTTCAGATCCTTCTTCTTTTCTAATATATGCAGTGCATATAATGCTATAAATTTCCCTCTAAGCACTGCTTTCAGCAACTCACAAATTTTGGTAAGTTGTGTTTTCATTTTCATTTAGTTCAAAATATTTTTAAATTTCTTTTGAGATTTCTTCCTTGATCCTTGTATTATTTAGAAGTATGTTGTTTAATCTCCAAGTATTAGGGGATTTTCTAAGTCTGTTATTAATTTCTGATTTGATTCCATTTTGGTCTGAGAGCAGACATAATACGATTTCTCTCTTAAATTTATCAAGGTGTGGTTTTTGTTCCAGAACTTGGAGTGTCTTGGTGAATGTCACATGTGAGCTTGAGGAGAATGTGTATTCTGCTAATTTGGGGTGATGTAGTCTATAGATGTCACTTACACCCGGTTGATTGTTGGTATTGTTGAGTTCAGTTATATCCTTACTGATTTTCTGCCTGCTGCCTATGTCCATTTCTGATTAGAGGGGTGTTGAAGTCTCTAACTGTGATAGAGGAGTCACTTATTTGTCCTTGCAATACAATCAGTTTTTGCCTTATGTAGTTTGAAGCTCTTTTGTTAGGAGCATACACATTAAGAATTGTTTTGTCTTCTTAGAGAATTGTCCCCTTTATCATCATATAATGCCCTTCTTTATCCCTGATAACTTTTCTTGCTTTGGAGCCTGCTCCATCTGAAATTAGTATAGCTACTCTTGCTTTCTTTTGATCAGTGTTAGCATGGTATATTTTTATCCATCCATTTACTTTTTTTAAAAACATTTTTTTATTGAGTTATAGTCATTTTACAATGTTGTGTCAAATTCCAGTGTAGAGCACAATTTTTCAATTATACTTGAAGATACATCTATCCATTGTCACATTTGTTTTCACTGTGAACTACTACAAGATCTTGTATATATTTCCCTGTGCTATACAGTATAATCTTGTTTATCTATTCTACATATGCCTGTCAGTATCTGCAGATTTTGAACTCCTCCCAGTCTATCCCTTCCCACCTTCCCCTACCTTGGCAACCACAAGTCACAAGTTTGTATCCTATGTCTATGGGTCTTTTTCTGTTTAGTATTTATGTTTTTTTTTAGATTCCACATATGAGCGATCTCATATGGTATTTTTCTTTCTCTTTCTGGCTTACTTCACTTAGAATGACATTCTCCAGGAGCATCCATGTTGCTGCAAATGACGTTATGTTGTTGTTTTTTATGGCTGAATAGTATTCCATTATATAAATACACCATATCTTCTTTATCCAGTCATCTGTTGATGGACATTTAGGCTGTTTCCATGTCTTGGCTATTGTAAATAGTGCTGCTATGAACATTGGGGTGCAGGTGTCTTTTTGAAGTAGGGTTCCTTTTGGATATATGCCCAGGAGCGGGATTATTGGGTCATATGGTATAGGTCTATTCCTAGTCTTTTGAGAAATCTCCATACTGTTTTCCACAGTGGCTGCACCAAACTGCACTCCCACCAGCAGTGTAGGAGGGGTCCATTTTCTTCATGGCCTCTC